GTAATACTAGAGTTTGAACTACTCAAAAAGATGCATGCAAGTTGTTACCTTATTTTTTTAAGATGAACCAGTATGTAATTTTTTAGAGTGCAACCAAAGCTATTAGCATATTCAGGCAGTACTCAGGGAAAATGTTATGTAATTTGGGTAAACTAACCCATTAAAAAGGCTGCATTAAGCAACTACCTGAGATATTTTAGACACTGCTAATTTGTCTGAATGTAATATGGTTAGCAATGTTCATGCTTGTTCTGTCACAGGCAGATGAGGAGTGCAAATATTGAAATTCAGACAGTCCCCTAAGGCACTCAGTGCAGATAATGTTACAAAGTGAGCAAATGGTTGTCTCAAAACACAAGTAGTATAGCACATGAAGAGACATTATGCTCCATTCTCTCTCACACACACACACACACACACACACACACACACACACACTCTAGGACTCTATGATGTCACTTAATGCAGTTCGGAGTCGTGTATTTATCATCAGCAGGAAATGGATGTATGGCTCTTGTGCTCATCATAGAGGAGCCTATCCATTAGCATGGCGAGGCGGGTACTCCACTACTATAACTGCACAATACTACACTGATGGTTATATGACATACACACACATGTACACACAAGTTTTCACACAGGGCATGTTGGAGGAATTCAATTTCATTAATCTGGTTGTGTGTAGTGATTTATGGCTTATGGAAAACAGCAAAGAGAGTTACAGGTGCATCAGTGCATGGCTTCCAGTTAGCCTATCACTGTTGATTAATGTGTTAACCGTTTTGTGTGTGTGTGTGTGTGTGTGTGTGTGTGTGTGGGTGTGTGTGTGTGTGTGTGTGTGTGTGTGGCAGCCTTCCTTGACAGGCTGGAGGTGTGGCCAATAATATACAGCCTGTATGTGGAAACTGCAGTGGAGCGGAAATAATCTGCATCAGTGGGGGGTGCGCCTATCTGTGCATTTCTGTGCATGTTATCATCTCCACATGCTCATTACCTGAGTGTGTCAGGGTGTAAATGTTTTATCCATGCAGCACATTGTTGTTGCTCACAGTATCTAGTCGTAAGGGTGTTCATTCATATGCCTCAGAAAGGCAGGGTGTCAGGGTGTTGCTACAATGCAGGACTTTGATCACAAAACCATGGTAACGCAGATCAAAAAGACGCAGCCAGAGAATGAAGCAGCTGATATGTGGGCAATTAAAGCTGCTACAAGATTTCTGGTGCCAGCAAAAGAAAACTGCTCCCAGAGCCCTATTACAGCTTTAATATGTCACTGGTTGTAGCAGTTACTGAAGCACAACAGTCAGGTTTTTCTTTTATGGAGCAAATATTGTTGATGAAGTGATTCCTAGTCTGCAGAATTATTCTAATGCCTTGAAGCAAATTAGCTTTTTACTTGCACAAGCATTTCCAAAGGAAGGGTAATAGTTTAATTAGACCTCAGGGGCAGATCCAAAGAATCAGTTGGGTAAATATGTTTGCAATAGTTCCACATTTTGGCAAATAAACTTAATTGCTTTTTTGGTTTGATGAGGAAATTGATACCACTCTCACGCCTTTATGCTAAATATGAAGCTAGAGCTAGCAGAAGATTAATTTAGATTAGCATAAAGACAGGGAGCCGGGGGAAACAGCCAGCCTAGCTATAAGTAAAAGAAAAAATTCTGCCTTAAACTAAAACTTGTTGATTTTACAGTTAAATGTTTGTAGTTAATTAACAAAAAGATATAATGTGTTAATTAGAGAGCAAAAAGTGCCCCTAGCTTCTGGTCTTTATGCTAAGATAAGGGTTTTTATCTTCATATTTAGCGCATAGGCATGAGAATCTCCTCAACTAAATCTGCAAGAAAGTGTTTCCTAAAATGTTAAATTAGTCTTTAAAAGTGGAACTCAGTGAATAAAGAAGCAAGAGGGGCAGAGGACGACATAATGAAACCTAGTTAGCATGTCACGCTAACTTCACAAAGTATATGCTTATATGCAGTATATCATGTCTACACATCTCCACTAAGTCTGACTGTACAGAAAAAATGAAGCCAAAATATCCTGGCTACGACTGCTGCCATCTTGTGTTAGTGACATCAATTGGAGCCAGAGTCTGTGGCGGTAGCAGTAGCAATCTACACAGTATTAAATTCTCACCCATACACCCATCCAACCTATTGCGAGCAGTGCCTTTGATCACAACAACACCGATTGGCACACATAGCTGTCAATAATGATGTGAGATCCCCTTTTTATAGCATCAAATAACAAGTAAAGCCAAATTTATTAGAGAAACAAAGATGTGAACACACAGCAGCGAGATAAAAACCACCTTAAATGATGGAAACCATCTTTGACAAAAATTTATTTGACACGTACTTTAATCTTTTAGTTTAGCCAACTGACAAGCCCCCAGGAACAGCAGCTGGCTTTGAAGCCAATTTGACATAGTGGCGAAAACATGAAATTACAACTGGGATCATCACATGATGCTGTTGGGCCCAAAAAGCCCTTTTTAGAGAGAGTTACATTGGGAAAAAAAACAGCTGTAAATCAGTGGATACTTTTTTTTGAGCGTCACAACCTCTGCATAATGACTCGTTTCACCATTGGGATTTAATCCATTCAGTCAGATAACATTTTAAAAGTCTAGAAGAGCAGCACAATTAAATAATTTTATCCATGTTCAAATTAGCGGAGGGCTAAATCGGAAGATAGCAGCACAAATGGCATAAGTCTCTAGTGCGTTTGTTCTATGGATGGTTTCATTGCTCTTCTGTTCCTAGGGCAAAAGCTTTCCTGTTCACTTTTATCCTTCAGGAAATCCACTTGGACCCATTCAGAATGTTTATCTTGTCAAGTTTGAAGCAGTCTATGGGCCCCATGATTTGCAAGATCCCGGCTAATTTCATACCCAGAAAGTCTTACTTTTTTAGCCTCATGCGTCATTAAGCAACTTTCATAGGAAAGAACGGGGCTCTGCTTCCGACACTGTATCCAGGTCTCTTTATACATCCATGATCACTGATTTTCCAAATTCAAACTAAGGCCATGTCCACACAGAGACGAGATTAGGTGTATCCGCAAAGGTTTTTTTATCGTACAGACCTTTCGTAAACACGGAACCAGCGTTTTAGGAGCCCAAATACACCAACTTTTGAAACCGGGTCCCAGAGTGAAAAAATCTGGAGACGCCACCTTCGCGTTTCCGTATTTACAACACAGTACACCTCTTTTCTGAAGCAATGACACCATTACCCCACCTCTCCCTTAACCTGCATGCGCTAGGCGTAATGGCAGGACTCCCAGTCAAACTTCTCCTGCAATTTTGTAGTTCTGTAATCAAGTGTGACCCTAAGAAGCAGCTCTACCTCGTCGTCAGACCATACAAAGTGGGCTCCTCTGGCATTTGTATTTTCCGCCATCTTCTTCCTTCGTGTTTGAGTTTTATGCACATGCTCCATTTCTTATTCTCTGTTTTTGGTGTACTTTGTGGTAGCGTTGCAGCACCACTTACAGGCCTTGCATATATACTACAGTGTTTTCAGTGGCTTCATGTTTACGTACACATATCTTGAGACGATTCTGTGTTTATGCAAAACTTTTAAAAAACGAAATCGGTTCTGTCTTTATGTGGCTATGGCCTAAATATGTAATGTTCCTCATACCTAAGCTAGGTTGCTTGTCAACTGACCTTCCAACATAATGAATGTCGCAGCCACAAATGATCAATAAAAAAAAGTCAATGCCATTTATATTATTGATTCATATTTTGCGTGTCCTCTTTGACATTCCACTTTGCCGGCAAGACCGGGTTCAGCCATGTTAAATGTCAAAATTTGCTCACTGGTTAATGTTGTGTTCCTTTCTTGACCTGCTTTAACCTCAGCTGAGTATCTACTACACCACTACATCTGTCACATACCCGTTTATTCATGGGCTCCATACAACAAATGTGATGCTGTCAGCAGCAAAGCACCAATTTGCAGAAGGCATGCAGAGAATGCTTCTCATGCTGGATCGTAGGGTCATTTTAATCTCTTCAATTTTCACCGTCTTAACGGAAACGCAGCAAGGGTGAGCGGCATTTCCAACACCTTAACTGCAAATAGACAGTTGTGTTTTGCCTTTTTTATTATCTTCTGCGTATTTGGTTTTCTGTAAATGCCCATGAAACCTCCAAATGTACTTAATGTCAGTCATGTTCATTATAAGTATTTGACGCAGCCTAAACGTGATGTAATTAATTAAGTGCTACTTTACAAGATGTACACAGTGAATCACATCAAGCCAGCTGAATCTGTTCTTAATATGCAAATACAGATTTAATCCACTTTGCTACCAATTTCACGCCGCTCCAGCGAGGAGGATTTACACATCACTCTCCCATTCTTGGGAACTATTCATTTCATCTTAATAATCAGATCCAGCTGTATAATTGCAGTCACGGAGATTAGTGCCAAGGAAGGAAGGAAGGATGGAAGGACACACACTCGCATACATGGACATATTAATAAATCCATCCACGCACACACATACACTGTACATGAGTGTGAGCACGCATACACACAGCAGCACTGGCAGCAGCTGACGGCAGCTTGATAGTTCTGAGCGTTGCAGTGATGAAACTAGAGATGCTGCACGCTCCTCTTAATAGAATTCACACTGGCAGCATCGGCCAGCTGTAGTAGAATGATAATGTATGCTGGCGCTTTCTGAGCTTTCCAGAGCTGCGGCTTCATTCAGAAATATGTGACCCAAGCAGGGGAATAGAGGGAGAGGAGAAAAAGTGTTTCTGCCTTCATATTCTTGTTTAAAATCAAAATTATGAGAGATAAAGCACTTCTTAAAATGCAGTATATTTGTATAAGTGCATGTCATACATCAATGACACAACCTCTGATCTGACAAAGTGTCATCGTAGTCTCTGTTAGATATGACCTGATGTGTCACTACAGAGTTCTGGATGAATGAGCATCTAATGCAGATGTGAAGGCAAACAAACAGAGTCCTACCTCTCCTGGTCTGTCTGATCTTTGGGCTCAGCATGGCTGTCATCGCTCGTCCACGCACTCTCCTCTTGGCATGTTCGTGTACATCCAAGCACCCCACCCCTTGTCTCTCCCTCTGCCTCTCTGTGTCTCAGCCTCTCTCCTCCTCTTCTCTCTCTGACCTTCTGCAGTGCGGCCAGCAGCTAGGGGGTTGGGTAAACAGGGGAGGGGAGGAGAATGGAAAGAGAAGGGGGTGGTGAATGAGGAGGAGCAACTACCCCTCTTTTTTTTCCTTGCGCACACGCCCAGTGGCCTCCACCCCTCCCTGTTACATTATTCATAGCAGTACATCCGCCTGGGGTTGATGGAGGAGGTTTTTGGGGTGGGTCTCCCAAACAGATGCCTGGTTCTAAGTGTTGTTATTTCCAGCAATGACTGCTTTTCCATAAAGATCTGTGTGTTTATAAGGGGGCGTATAAGAGGAGAGGCAGGTGTCTCCTCCTTCTGCACCTAATTAAGATGTAGAGGTCCTCAGCTTGTCTCCACCTCCTTCCATTAATCACTCATTTCCCCCCATCCTTCCTCTGCTTTCTCTCATTTTCTTCCTGCCTCTCTCTGTATCTCACTTGTGCTATCTCCTTTCTTTATCTTTTCCTTCCCTTCTCCACCCACCTCTCTCACCACAGCTCCCTTCTAATTCTACTGCTGCACATCCGTCAATCTCTCCTCTCTTGTCTTTTCCTCTTAATTACTTTCCTTCACCATTTTTGTCTTTGCCACTCTCGGCTGTCTAAGAACGATGTTGCTGTCAATTCAAAGTTAGACGTGGGAAATTCCCAGCTCGTACATTAGGTCGTAATTACATCCTCCAGGCATTCCAGTGGCACAACTCAGGAAAACCAGGGGAGAAAAAATACCGTTCCCCCTCTATCAGACAATGTCATGTCGCCTCGAGCTACACTGGCCTGTAATTGACACAAGAAAGTGTGTAGGAGTGTGGCGGTGTGGTAGCAAGAGAGATCTGCAGCCAAGAGGAAAAATGTCACCACTGTTGATTTTGGCACCAGATTTTGATTTGGTTGCAGTTCAAAAATGTGTATCACAGTATCTTAGGTGAGACTGACTTTTGCTAGTTTTATTTTTTTGCAGTAAAATTTAAGTCTTGCCTTTGTTGTGCATTTTAAATTTTTTATCATGGACACAGTGATGTTCCCTTGGCAAACATTTACCTCAGAGAACAATTTAGATAGCCGACAGTCTATTTTAATTAGGCAGCAACCTCTGGGCCTGTGAAGGAAAAACCACCACAGAAGTGCCAAAAACTGCAGTTCCCCAAATAGCCACTTGAGGGTGTCTTTCGAGTCAATTTCCATAAACACCATGACCACAGGAATAGTGCCAGACATTGAGGACAATTTTACACAGTGGCCAAAAGTGGAATAACACACTCCAGGTCCGTCATGTGATGCTATGGGGCCCAAAAAGACTTTTCCCGCAGACTAACATTTCGAAAAAGAAGTCTGTAAATCAGTGGATAAGTTCTTTTTTTTTTGCATCAAAACCCTCAAGAAATTAGTCTTTTACTATCTGTATTTGATCCACTTGTTCCAATAACATTTCAAAAGTCTAGAAGAGCAGTAGGCTTTAATAATTTTTATCTCCTTTTCAGTTAGCAGAGTGCTAATAGGGAAGTTAGCTGCCCGGGCGCCATAAATCTCTAGTGTGCCTGCTCTTTGGACCCATGATGCAGAAGATCCACGTAATTTCATACTTTGGAAATTGAGCTTTTTTGGATTTATGCACCACTGAGGAACTTTCATAGGAATGAACGGGGCCCTGCCTCTACTGCTGTATCCAGTTTTATTTTTACATTCATGATAGACACCCATGTTAAAATGCCTAACTTTCCAGCAAAAATAAACATGTTTGAAGCCTGGTAAAAAAAAAAATTCTCTGATAATTTCCCTTTTTATGAAAACTACACAGACAGGAATTTTTGTATAACACCCCCATTTACATTGTATTAAGGCTTAAAGTTATGCATAATTAAGGACATGGCTGTTGTGAGTGACAGCTTCACAGTTTCATTGAAATTTGGTCACCTCTAGCTCCAAAAATCCTTTATGGCAACAGCCAAAATGCCAAACTCAAGTGTTCAAAAGGTGGGTCCACAAAGAAATGGGTAGGTCTACGATTATAATCCTGAACTCAAGATAGAATCACAGATGATAGCCAACAGAAGGCAAAGTTTTAATGGCATCCACAGCTTTTTATAATGATTAGCATTAGCTTACCTTTTTGATGAATGTTAGCATGTTGGGCAGCACTGTTTGTCCAAACTGTTCTTGTCTCATTTTTAGTAGGCCCGAAGACTTATTTAGTCCATGTTACTCTGCAAAGTCAAATATATTTTGTTTTTTACCACATTCAATTTATTATGCCATAGAAACGAGGTAAAACCAAACAACAGTGCAGTAAACAACAGCTGGTTAAGGCTAGCCATAGTTAGCCTTACTTAAGGCTAATTTACTGACTTTTTCCTTCTTATTTCCTGTAACTGAAAATCAATTTGTATGCTCCAACATCTTAGTAATTGAGTTTGTTATACCACATAAATAAATCTTGCCATGATGGTAAAATAAGTAACACAGATAAATTAGTCCCGCTAAAAGCTAACTAGCCTTGCTTAAATGTCCTTTACATTGTCCACTCCAAACAAGGGTGATGTTATCTCACAGTGTTTTTTTTGTTGGGTGTAGTTATTCTAAAAAGCCACTAAATTAAGGTTTTACTACCTATAGCTACATAGTGGTTGTTACACACTTTGGTTTAAAACTTAAATTCCTCTTTTCTTAGTTTTAATGTATCTGAATGCTGTCTGCCATTGGCTGTTTTTTTTTTCCCTTCAAAAACCAGTATGGCTCGCTAACGTTAACCACGTTGTACAATGTGTGACTCCATGGTTCATTCAGGTTGTTGACCCAGACCTTGTATGAATTAGTTCATCTATTCATTCATCCATCTTTCACTATTTAATTGACTGTTTAGTTTGTATTTGTTGACCAAAACACTGTTAAAAAACTGTCAACAAATATTTTACAACATAGTCTTTGTAGGCAATATTAACTTTGAATATAAACTTTAAATGTCACCATGCAAATCCTGGAATAATAAAACTTATACCTGTTGCGAACCAACAAGTGTTATTTGAAAAGCTAGGAACTGGATAAAAAGCGTGAGCTGTTACCACACCACCTCTACTGGTTTAGATCTTTACAAAAACCAAAAAATGACCAGCTTTTAAATCACATTTTGTCCAGAGGAGAAAAGTAAACAACAAGAAGCATTTGTTCAGTTTTTAAATGGGTTGGATAGGCTTGACTTTTCTGTATGACATTCTGCTTTGAAGTGGCTGTTTCTGTGTCTGATGTAGAAATTTCCTGCCCTCCTCCTTCTCTGGAAGGCAGCATCAGACCTGTCGTTGTTAGCAGCTGTGCTACAGCAGCCGGGCTTCCCTCCTCCTCTAGTGTACAGAGGATAATAGCCTTAAGTCCTGCACTGCAATTGAATCAGAGCTGGCCTCACGTCAACCACAGCTGCTCTTATTACAGAGCAAAGAGGGAGAGCGACGCAGAGGGGGTGGAGGAGTCAGTGTGTGTGTGTGTGTGTGTGTGTGTGTGTGCCCACACGTAACATACATGCACATGTACACACATGCTAACAAGCTATTAAAATGGAACAGTAAATGCAAAGGTAATTCTACCGTTCATGCACACACACACACACACACACACACACACACAAACACAGAGTGAACCAAAATGGAGCCAAAATGAGGCTGACAGAAACGGAGATGGGGTCACACAAGCTGAAATGAAACAGAGAGAAAGAGGACACACACACACACACACACACACACACATGCACACACACACTGACAAGAAACCAATATGAAGCAGCGCGAGGGAGGAGTGACACACACGTACAAATACACCATGAAGTCAAAAATGAGACAGCAATAAAAGCCTTCAGTGCCAGTGTTTGGGTTAAGACTGGGGTTGGGTGAAAGCGATGTGGCCACACCATGCTGGGTGTGGCTCTGGATGTTGTTTCCCTCCAAATTTATCACCCAAATCATCCTCATATTGTTCTGTTATCACAGAACGAGATGTTGGACAAAAAGGGAACAGACAGGAGGGTGAGAAGAGGAGGAAACATGAACATTTGAAGCCACACAGCGAGATGAGTGGCAGTGTTGCAAACCACCCAGTGTTCAACCATAGCTTTCCTGTTTTTGTTTAGCCATAACCACCGGGCTGCTGTCTGTGTAAACTTCACTGGCACTGTAACCCTGGTATAAACAAGCCTCCACGCATATTTCAGGGCACCACATTTGCTGATTGCAGGCGCAGTAGTGTTGGCGCCCATGTGGGCAAAAAGTTGAGATATGTTTGTGAAAATATTTTGCGTTCATATTAATCACGTCTTTGAAATATAATTCAAATATGTTTTCACAGGGTTTAGTGTGAGCAGTGAACATCTAACCTCCCCTGTCCTCAACAGATTGCCCTTCTCAAGCGCCTACAGTTCCAACATCCAGGCAAGCGTAAAATTGTAAGCTGTGAATGTAGCAGGTTTTACGTTGGTTAAAAACTGACAGCATGAGAAAAATTATTTTTAGACTTGCAGTTTTTCTGTTTCTCTTAGAACTCCTGAGATCCTGCCTCAGATGCCCTTCACAGAGACCATAGATATGTGGTTTAGTAGCCTTACATTAGCCTGGTGGTTGCCCTTTCTATGACATGCCCACATGTTGTTACTGTGTCGGCCAGTTGACCATCTGCTCAGTCAGAGACTAGCAAACACCTACTAATTCCACAAGCAAAGGAAAAGTCAATAGCTTTGAAGGCTCAGGATATGGTCACTCATACCTCTTCTCCAGCTCTAGTTCTTTGAAACCTTGGTGCTTTCTAGCAAACCAGCCTGAGTATCCACCACTTTATGCAAAACCATTGTAATCAAGGATGTGTCATCAACGGAGGGCATTGCACATGCACTATGAAGGTAAACAGTAGTAGGAAGATGGAAGGTCACATTGAATACCTTCAAACTTGTGTTTTCTTATTACAGATATTGTCTTTTGTCCAAAAACAAGCATGGA